ACCGTCTTTTTTTTTTTTTTCTCAATTACTTCCCCCCCTTCCCCCCCCCACCTTTTTATTTTCTCCACAAAAAATCCTTGGCGTTCCTCATTTTAAAAAAAAAAATTTGTTTGGTGTTCCTCGGTCTTAAAAAGTTTAAGAAACACTTTGCTATATGGTTTGGTTTTTTATTTGGTTTTCCTCAAGAATTCCTTTCCTTTCAAAGTTCCACTAAGTCATTTGACCAGATCATGTGCATGTTAAAATTAAGGCAGGGAAATATTTTCTGTTTTCCTTTTAAAGGCTGTCCCGCTGCGGGCATGCTCCGCGGCTTTGCTCCCTGGTCTGCTGGGGGTGGGGGGTGCAGCTAGTGTTCCCCCCCCAGCAGACCAGGCTTTTCTTGCCTACCCCTGGGGTAGAGCAGCTGGGGGCTGCCGGGTTGGTCCCGCAGCGCCACTCCGGACCAGGCCCCCCCAAAGCCGCCCGCTGCTGAAACTGACTAGCGGCTGACTACAGGAAGCCGGAGGCAGAGTTGCTCTGCCCCAGGCTTCCTGGAATCAGCTGCTGATCAGTTTCAGCAGCGGCTGACTTGGGGACACCTGGGTTTCTTAAGTTGAATCTGTATGTAAGTCAGAACTGGCATCCAGATTCAACTGCGGTTGAAACTGATCAGTTTCAGCAGCGGCTGACGCCAGTTCCGACTTACATACAGATTCTACTTAAGAACAAACCTACAGTCCCTATCTTGTACGTAACCCGGGGACTGCCTGTACTCCTATAAAGCCTAAGTATGTAGCACTTTTCCTTCTTCAAACATGAATTCCTCTCCACAGGCTCATTACAAGGTAAGCACTGTTAGCTCCAATTTACACTAATCGCTTATTCTCTTCTCCCCTCCCCCCCACATCTGTATCCAGGCTTCAGAGGAGAGCTAGAATTGTAAACTGGGGGTTCTGTTTTTTGTGCCTAAGGTTTTGGCCATACCTTTTATGGAAATAGTACCTTTGGCTGTGTGAAGTATATGGTAGAGCAAATACAAAGTGAAAGATAACCCTACTTCTGGTGATGTAAAAATTCTCATTTTGGAGAAGTAGTAACTTGGCCGCTTACCCTTCTACATGAAAACCTACCCTTTTTTAGCAAATTCATCTTGCTTTGTATTTAGACAAGAGGCTTATAGTAGTAATGTTACTGGAATTCTCTCCTTTAGCATTTTCCTTATCGATCATGCCTGGACGTACCGTGTTGAACATGCACGCCAGCAGCTGTTGAATGTTCCCGGTCTGCTACATAGGATGGCAAACCTCATGGGAATAGACTTTCATGGAGAAGTTGCAGATGAGGGAGCTATTGAGCAGGTGTTGCAAGAAATGTGGAAATACAATCAGACCTACCAGCTGTCTCAAGGGGTGAGTGACTCCTCTAGTCAAGAATATTAAACAGCTCTGCTAGATCCTGAATTTAACCATACCCAATACATGGATAATTAATACAGATTTCTCTCCAATACAAAAACACTCCTTTTTTTTGAGCCATTTTAGAAAGAACTGCTACTCAGAAAAGGGACAGCCAATGCCGAGCAGTTTGTGTTTTTATATATATATATTAAAAAAAAAAGCAGTGGCAAGTTGCCAACTTGTTAACAAAGGGCTACCCATCAGTTTAGGAGGAAAACGTTTACAAGTTTCATGTAACAAAGAAGCACGTGCATCAAAGAAGAGTTAGAAAATAACCTCAGATTGCTCATTCTGCTCCTTTCTTAAACATATGCTATAATTTGCAAGAGAATAAATTCTTACAACCAAGTAAGTTGAAAAAATAAACTTGCACTAAGTGCATTTGTTAGCAACAGTCATGTATGTAAACTACAGTGAGTGTAGGTGTTCTGTTAGATACTGTGGTGATTTTTATGCTGATAAAGCTGTGAAAGGGTAATATTAGGATAACTCATTTCTTTAAACAACAAGAAGTCTGGTGGCATCTTATAGACTAACAGATTTATTGGAGCATAAGCTTTCGTGGGCAAAGACCCACTTCGTCAGGTCGAGCATCTGACGAAGTGGGTCTTTGCCCACGAAAGCTTATGCTCCTATAAATCTGTTAAGAAGTCCTGTGGCACATTATAGATTGTTTATGCAGATTCAGACTAACATGGCTACTCCTCTGATACTTGTCACTTCTTCAAGTTTTGTTGTTGTTTTTTAAATATTCTTATGGAAGGCAGAGTTACCTAGAGAACAGAACAGTGGACTGGAACATAGGAGATCTGGGTTTTGTTTTTGGTTGGGCCAGAGGCATGCTGGGTGACCATGAGCAAATCACTTGACTGCTCTGTGCCTCAGTTTCCCCATCTGTAAAATGGAAATTATGACCTGCTTTTGTAAAGCACTTGGAAATCTACTGATGAAAAGGCTAGTAGTAATAGCATTCTATACTTTCTGCTAATCCAAAATTGCCTTATGTTTCATGCTATCATTAGTTCTTCCTTCATTGGAAAATCAAGTCTTGATTAATTGAAACAGAGCATAGTAATATGGCTTTAGCATAAGCTCCTACCCCCTTCTCTTTAGCAGCATTTTATTAATAGTATGATGTGTAATGAGTGTGGGTTTTTTGTCATTGTTTTTTCCCTTCCTCCTCCTCCTCCCCTGCTCCCCACCAGACTGCAGAGGAGAAGGTTCCTGTCTGGTATATTATGGATGAATTTGGATCTCGAATTCAGCATTCAGATGAACCTACCTTTGCAACAGCACCTTTATTTTATATACCTCAGCAAATTGCTTACACTGTGCTCTGGCCTTTAAGGGACCTTGAAACTGGTGGTAAGTATGTCTGTACATCAAGTACATTATCTGCTTCTACCCAAAGAATGGAACTCCACTGAATTTACAAATCAAAAACAGCAGTTCTAACTTTTCTCAATTCTGTTATGAGGTGGTTTGTGTGTGGGGTGGTTGGTTTTTTTTTTTTTTTTTGGGGGGGGGGGGGGGGCGTTATTCAACCTCTCTCAAAACATCCTGCATATTTCTTTAAGACTTACTAGGTTTTTTTTTAATTAATGACCAAATATATTATAGATAACCTTTCTCATACATATTGTGACTCTTATTCAAGAGGATGTGATGGCTCTCATTGGTCCAGAAATGTCACAAGGAACAACCTGAGTTTTTAGGTTGCAAAGTCAAGCACTTAGTAATGTTTTAAATTGCACGTTTAAAAATATTTTTTAATCCTTTCAGTTGTCACTTAATCTATGGTTGTATTATATCATTTGCATGAAAAATTGTTGGTGGAAAATGATTGGCAATGCTACAATTATTTTTATATTCCACTGTAGAAGAAGTGACTCGAGACTATGCCTATGGGGAAACTGATCGTTTAATCAGAAAGTGTATGTTGTTGCCATGGGCTCCTGCTGAGGTATTGGATGTTAACTATTCCACTCCAGAACCATCAGAAGATCACTATCAGGTATAATTGTAATACATCTTTTCTTTAGGGTTCCTCTTTTATTTGGCCAAAGTAATTCCAGGTTTTATTTCTCTTCCAATGTGCAATATGAAGTATCAGGATTTCATAATCTAAAAAACTGCCTTTTGTAGAATTTAAATTATGTAAAGGTGGCGCATGTAGTAAAGTCAGAAATAAATAGCAATTCCAAAACTAAAACAATAGTGGCATGTGACATATTGTGGTATCCTTTGCTAGCCTACATCATAACAGAGGCACCAAGTAGTCTAGAGGCTTCTGTCCGACAATATATAAACCCGAATTATCAGGGCTCGACAAACTGTGGCAAGAGCTACTTTCCAGCCGGAGAATGGGCACACGGAGCAACCGGCTGAAATCTACTTGCCATGGGCGAGTAGAAATAGTGGTTTGTCGAGCCCCGTGAATTATATGGAATTCGGCATGCAAACCCAAAGGTTGGAGCAATTGCTATTGGATTTATTATTACAGAATCTTTGGTCAATCCAAAAATATAGGAAGAGTAATCTTTGTATGTAAGGAACAAAATCTTATTTCTAGCCTCCTTATTCTTGTTGTTGTTGTTGTGATCTGAAGGCTTGCCTACACTTATCTGGTGACTGGCGCTTCAACAATCAATTCTCTAGGGGCAAGTTTAGCAAGTCCAGTGAAGATACGATAGGTTGACCACTGATCACTCTTTTGTCAACGCCGAAACTGCACCAGTGCGCGCACGCACTCTGAAGTAACTTGACCTAAAGTATGTTGACTCCAGCTACAGTATTCACATAGTGGGAGTTGTGTAAATTAGGTCTACTTTACCCCGTAGTATAGATCTGCCCAAAAGCAATTCAGTATTACATCAGGAACAACATTTCAAAGTGGATGGCTTGGGGTTTTTCAAATATCATCCTCCTCCCCTCCATGTGGATGAAGGCGGAGCCCTGATCTCTGGTGCCCCCTGGGGGGCCTGAACCCAGGAGTCACAGGACTGGAGTTCTGAACCCGGGTACTCCTTGTGGAGCAGAAGCTCTGACCCCATGGGCAAAGTTGGGGACATAGAGGGTATTTGCCTTCCCCCGCCCCCTCACCCAAACCCCAAAAAACCTGCAAAGCCAGAGCACAGCAGTCCAGAGGGCAGTCCCACACCTCCCCCATCCCCGATCTACTTTCCCCACAACCTGGCCAGGTTGGAGGCAGGGAGCCAGTGCAGAGCAGCTGCTGCTCTTGCTGGTGCCTTGGGGTTCGTCTATCCAGCAACATTATTTCTAAATAGCTTAGTCCGTGTCTACACAGTAGGCAGTTATTTTGAAATAATGTTGAAATACTATCAAGTTGGAGGACTGTAACCCTCATTGTCTGAGGAGCAAGGGAAGTCGGAGGAGGAGTGCTCCGTTTCGAAATAAGTGCTGTGTAGATGCTTCCAAGTTCAAAGTAAGCCACACAATTAACGTAGCTTATTTCGAGTAGACGCACCCATAGTGTCTCTCTTCTCCTATTGGTGCCCCTGCTTGATGCTGTTCCTTGGCTCTCAGCCCTCTTTGCTCAGACCAAGGCAGCTGGTAAGAGCCGCCTGGGTGGGGTGATCTGGCTGTTTTCGAAATAAGTGCTGTGTAGATGCTTCCAAGTTCAAAGTAAGCCACACAATTAACGTAGCTTATTTCGAGTAGACGCACCCATAGTGTCTCTCTTCTCCTATTGGTGCCCCTGCTTGATGCTGTTCCTTGGCTCTCAGCCCTCTTTGCTCAGACCAAGGCAGCTGGTAAGAGCCGCCTGGGTGGGGTGATCTGGCTGTATGGCTGGCAGACCTCTCTGGGAACAGGGACTGCAGAGGCTCTCCCCCTTCCCATCCCCTCCCC